CAGGTGGTAAAATCTGACATTTTCTCAGCAATATTTTTTCTGATATATCTCCTTGGGCAAGAGAAACAAAGAAAAATAAACAAAGGGAAATACATCAAACAAAAAAGCTTTTGCACAGCAAAGGAAACCATCAGCAAAATGAAAAGACAACCCATTAAATGCCAGAACATGTTCACCAATGACACATCTAATAAGGAGTTAATACACAAAATTTATAAAGAACTTACACAACAACACACAAAAAAACAATAACAATCCAATTAAAAATTGGGCAAAGGACTTGAATGGACACTTCACCAAAGAGGACATACAGATGGTCAGGAGACATATGAAAAGATGCTTAACATCACTAACCATCAGAGAGATGCAAATTAAAACCACAATGAGATATCACCTCACACCTGTCAGAATGTCTATCATCAATAAATCAACAAACAACAAGCATTGGTGAGGAAGTGAAGAAAAGGGACCCCTCATGCACTGTTGGTGGGTCTGCAGATTGGTGCCGCCATCATGGCAAACAAAATGGAGGTTCCTCAAAAAATTAAAAAATGGAACTACCTTATAACCCAGCAATTCCACTTCTGGGAATATATCCAAAGAAACCTGAAACACTAATTCAAAAGAATATATACACCCCTATATTCATTGCAGCGTTATTTTCAATAGCTAAGATTTGGAAGCAGCCCAAGTGCCCATCAGTAGATGAGTGGATAAAAAAATCTGTGGTACATTTACACAATGGAATACTACTCGGCTATAAAAGAGAAGGAAATCTTACCTTTTGTGACAGTATGAATGGACCTGGCAAGTATTATACTAAGTGAAATAAGCCAATCAAGAAAGGCAAATATCATATGATTTCTCTTATGAATAAAACAAATCTAATGAATAAAACAAACAAATAAAATAGAAACAGACTCATAGATACAGAGAACAGACTGACAGCTGTCAGAAGGGAGGGGACTTGGGGGGCTGGGGCAAAAAGGTGAAGGGATTAAGCTAGAAGGGGGGAACACATTAGAGACACAGATAACAGTATGGTTATTACTAGAGGGAAAGTGAACACACAATATAATAGATGATGTGTTATAGAATTGTATACTTGAAACCTATATAATTTCATTAACCAATATCATCCCAATAAAATCAATAAAAATTAAAACAGATAAAATAAGCCCAGCCGGTGTGGCTCCGTGGTTGAGCATTGACCCATAAACCAGGAAATCATGGTTTGATTCCCTGTCAGGGCACATGCCCAGGTTGTGTGGCTTGATCCCCAGTAGAGGGCATGCAGGAAGCAGTCGATCAATGATTCTCTCTCATCATTGATGTTTCTATCCCTCTCTCCTTCCTTCCTCTGTCTGAAATTAATAAAAACGTATTTAAAACTGATGAACAAAATAAATCTAGAGACACAGCAGCCTGGAACAGACTGTGGAATCTCAGAGGGAAGGTGGGGGTGAGTTGGTTAGTGGGAAGAGATCAACCAAAGATCAATTTGTGTGCATATATGCATAACCCATGGACACAGACAGTAGGATGATGAAGGCCTGAGGTAGGGGTTGGGGGCAGGCAAGAAGGGGTCCATGGGAGTAAAAAGGGGACATATGTAATACTTTCAACAATAAAGATTTAATTTTCAAAAAAAGTATTTAAAAATAAAAGTTTAAGAATCAAGGGGATGAGAAAACAAACCACAGACAGGGAGAAAATCTTTGCAAAAGATTTATTTAATAAAGAACCATTATCCAAAATACACAAAGAATTCTTAAAACTCAACAATAAGAAAACAACTCGATTAAGAAATTGAGCAAAAGACATGGGTACACACATTGCCAAAGAAGATATACAAATGGAAAAGATGCTCAACATCATATATCATTAGGGAACTGCAAACTAAAACAACAATGAAGTACCACTCCACTCCTGTTAGAATGGCCAAAATCAAAAAGTGACACCATATGCTGACAAGGATGTGGAGCATCAAAAACTTTCATTCGTTGCTGGTGGGAATGCAAAATAGTACAGTCATTTTGGAAGACAGGTTGCAGTTTCTTACAAAATTAAACATATTCTTTCCATACAATCAAGCAATCACACTCGTTGGTATTTAGCCACATGAGCTGAAAACTTATGTTCACACAAAAACTTGCACATAGATGTCTATATCAGCTTTATTTATAATTACCCAAACTTGGAACCAACCAAGATGTCCTTCGGTGGGTGATGGGTAAGTAAGCTGTGGCACCTCCAGAAAGTGGAATACTGTTCAGCACTAAAAATAAATGATCATCTGGCTGGCGTGGCTCAGTGGTTGAGTGTCGACCTATGAACCAGGAGGTCACGGTGCCATCACTGGTCAGGACACATGCCCAGGTTGTGGGCTCGATCCCCAGTGTGGGGCAT